AAAAAAAGTAGCTATAAAAAAAAAGGTAAGTAAAGGGCTTAATACGATTAACTATATATAGTAATTAGGACTAATTTAAAATAATTTCTTTTTATAAAAAATTAAAAAAAAAGAAATTAGGGGATAATTAAAATAAAGTAGAGTAATTAGTCTTAATAATTCTTTTTTAAAACTAATTAAATATAAGTATTTATAAAAGGGCTAATTAGAATAAAATATAAAAAAAAGGGCCCCGATTAAAAATAGTAAGTTAAATAGCGCGGATTTTTATTTTAATTATATATATACTTTTTAAAATTAAACTAAAGCTTTTTTAATAATTTATTTTCGAACGTAATAATATAAAACGATTAAAAAGTCTACTTTTCTAATCCGGCTAATATTATCCTCTTCTCTTTAATTATAACTCCGTTAATTAAAGCCGTATTAACCTAATTAAAAGAGGTATCTTATATTACTTTTATAAATATTAATAGTTCTTTTAAAATACCGTACCGCGAGAGTACTTTATACCCTATACGTTTTTACTATATAAATATTAATATAATTTTTTATATTTTTATTTACTCTATTTTAATAATAATAGCGTTTTAATAATATTATTATCTACTTTATATTATAATATTTTATTATAAGTATATTATAATATATTTTAATAACTTCTTTTCTTAGCCCCTTATATAGTAGTATATAAGCGTAGTTATTATAGTATAATAGCCCTTTTAAGTTATATACTTAGTTTTATTATTATTTTTTCTTAACTAAACGAGGTTATTAATTCTTTTTAATTTATTACTTATTTTTTATAAAAGCGTCTTTTTATTAAGTAGCTCGTAGTTAACTTATTATTAATAACTCCTTTTTATTAAATACTATTTTAAGTACTCTTATTATATTAAAGTTTTATAAAACGAGTAGTTTATAATTTATAGTTTTAATAATAAGCTTAAGTAGCTCTTTAAGTATTATATTATAATTTTAATACTTTAAGTTCGTAGTCCCGTTATACCTCTCGAGGTACTCTTTAAAGCTTTTTTAAACTAAAGTTCTTAACTTCTTTTATTTATTTTTTTATATTATTATTAATTCTATTTTTAAAATATTTATTATCTTTTTTACTTAGGAACCGCTCTTATAGCTTATTCTTATATATTTTATTATTACGATTTTAAAAAGTTTTTATATATTTTTAATATTATTTAGGTCTTTTTTTATTTTTAATAATAGCTCTTTTACTCTATTATTATTATTATTTTTATTATAGTTAGGTTTTTATAATAGTTTATTTACTAAGTTCTTAATACTTAGTTTAAACTTAATTTTAATATTAAATATTATAAGTTTATTTAATTAGCGTAACTATCTCTTATTTAGCTTTTTTTTAGTATTTAAGAACTATAAATTAAAATAGTTTATAAATATTATAACCTAACTTTAACTATAAGCGAGGTAGTATTATTAGTTTTTTAATACGTTTATAATAATTAGTAACTCCGTATTTTTTATACTATAGCAGCTCTTTATATTTATTAATTTCTTTAACTTATAAGTAATTAAATACTAATTACTCTTAAATAATTACGTAATTACTAAGTTAATAGCCCGAGTTAAAGCGTTTATTTATAACTACGTAAGTAGGGTAGGGTTAAAATATTATAGTATTAGCGTATTAATAAATACTATTAGTAGCTTCTTAAATAACTTTATAATAGGTATTAGTAGCTTTAACTATCTTAATTTTACCTTTTTTAATAAGTTTATTAAAAATATAGTTATTTTAGCGTAGTTATTAATAAATTTATAATAAAACCCCGTAAATTTAAAAAACGTTTATATATTTTTAATACTTTTTAAAAGTAGTTAATTTATTATAGTTTTAGTATACGCGGGTTTTATTTTTATACTTTTATTAAATATAATATACTTTAAAAATTCTATATATAATATATAGAACTCGTATTTATTACTATTTAAATATAGGTTCTATTACTATAGTTTTTATAATACGCTACGTACGTACTCTTTATATACTACGTAGTTATTATTATATATTAAAATATTATTTAGGTATATAATATAGACGGTATTAACTAGGTTATTTAGAACGTTATTAATATACGCTTAGAAAGTTATGGGCGCGTTAGTTAGTTTAAAAAGTACGATTAGGTATTTAAACTACTTATATTTAGTAAAAAAAGCCGTTTTTTATTTATTACCCTTAGCTATATATATATAGTAATACGTATTTTTAAGGTTTAGCTTTATAAAAATAGAAATATTAAATAGTTTATTTAGTATTTTATTAATTAGTAATAGTAGCGTTTTATTTTTTTATATAATTTTATTAATTACTTTATAATTAACGTAAAGTCGTAGTTCTCTTTTTTTTTTAAGTATAAAAAAGATAGGTACTCTAGCCGGGCTTATAAAAAGGCATATTTAGCCCCTAGCCTCTATTTTTATTAAATAATTTCGTAAAATCTCAAGCTTATAGTTTAATAATAAGTAAATAAGTCCCTAGAGGATAGGCATAGCGTTATTTAGTTCGATATAGTAGTTATACGGTACTTTATTTAGTAATAAAATAGCCTTTTTTTTTAAAAGTAAGTTATTAAAGTCTTAGTATTATAGTTTTTAATCCTTAGCTATGTTTATTAGTATTACGTTACTATTTATAGCTAAGTTAATTATAATATACGTAAGTATTATTAAAACTAAGTTATTTAGTAGCCCCTTTTTTAGGGCGTTTAAGCGGATATATTATTTATAAATTAAATATTACTACTTTTTTTATTTTTAATTAATTAGCGAGTTAATATTTTTTAATTAAGAAAAACTAAGTATAAGTATAAGTACTATAATATTAGTTATTATAAAGCAATATAGCTATGTTTTTATTACGTAGTTATTATTAGTAATTCGAAGCTATAAGTAATAGCTCCTTAGCATCTTTATTTATTTATTTTTAATATTTATTAATTATAGTAATAGATAAATTTATAAATTAGTATTAAAGTTATTAAGTAGCTTAATATTAACTACGTTCTTTTTTACTCCCGAATTAATAAGGGTACTTAGCTTTTTTTATATATAGTTTAGGTATATATAGGTTAGGATATCTAAGCGCTATTTTTATTAATTACTAATTACTCTTTTTATTAAAATAGTATTTAAGTTTATTATTAATCCGCGCTATTTAGTTAGAGCGAGGTTTAATTAATAATTAGTAATTTTATACCCTTTTTAGTTATATTTATAGTATATAATACTTAAGTAGCTATTAGCGAGGTACTTAGTTCTATTATAATTATAATATTATTAATACTACTCCTATAATTATAAGTAATCCTTTATAATATAGTTAGTTTTTTTATAATTATAATATATAATATCCTTATTAAGAAAGTTATAGTGTACTTTTTACGTAATAAGTTTATTAGTACCTTAGTATTTCCCCGCTAATTTATTTAAGTTTAAGTTAAAATATTATTTAGGGAACGTTTATAAGCTCCTTATTAATAGCGAGGATTATTTAATACGTTTTACTAACGATATTAATTATAAATAAGTTTATAAAAGTTTTATTTATAATATTATTACGAGACATAGTTCGGGCTATAGTTTATTTATTAATATAAAGATTTTCTATTTTTTTATTAGGATATATTTTAATTTTATTTCGAATTTATTAATATAATTAACGAACTTATTAACCCTCTTTTTTTAGCTTTGCGAGGTACTATTTAGTTATATACTTATTATTATTTTTTAATTAATAAGATTAAATAAGTTATTTTATAAAAAGGTTTTTAGTTCCTTTTATATAACTCGGTTTATTATAAACTTAGGGACCTTTTTATAGTTAAAAATATAATATATTTAAAAGGTTTTTATATTATTATTTAAGTAGCTAACTATATATATTACTTTATTATAGTTTATTTTTATTTATTAAGTTTATAAATTAAAGCGATAGTAATAGTTAAATAAGAAGCTTTATAAGTCCTATACTAATTTATTAATATATAATAAATTAGGGAGGGATAGTAGCTTAAATATAAACGTTTTATTTATAATACTTATTTAAATTAAAAAGAAGTTAATAAATAGAGGCTTAAGTAATATAAACTCGTTATTTTATTATTATTTAAATAGCGCTTTAAATATAATTTTATTTATTAAGCTATTTTTAGTTTAAAGATTTATATTTTTATTTATATTAAAGTTAATATCCGAGGCTATTATAATTAAAACTATAGTTCTTAATACGGGGGCCGGGCTATTTAAAGAGCTTTATAAATATTTTAAATTTACTTATTTTTTATATAATCGCTTTTTATATATTATTATAAAGATTTTCTTTTTTAATTATTATTTTTATTTTTATAGTTTTACTAATTTATTATTTATTATTTAGTTTAAGTATAAGCGAGCGAGGGTAAGAAGTTTATTATTTTATTTAAAATTTATTAATACTCTTAATAATATAGTCTTTTTATATTATTATTATATAATTCGTTTTATTATATTCCGTTTTTATATTATTTATTAAAAAAGAGGTAATTTTAGGGGGTTTAATAAAAATAAGTTATCCTCTTTTTATTATTATAATATTAAATACGCTCTTTTATTATATCTCGTTCTTATTAATATTTTAAATTCTTAGCTTAATTTTTTTTTATAAATAGAGATTTTAAATTATTAATAAGTATATAATATAAAAAAAAAGCTTATAGAAGTTAACTATTATTAAGGTTTAAAAATAAATTATTAAAATCTATTCTTCTCTCGAGGTATATTATTAGTACTTTATATATACCTAAGCTACTCTTTTATTACTTAGTCCCCCTCTTTATGCCCCTTAAGCTATCCCTTAACCAACGGGGTCTAACCGGCGAGGCCTGACATGGTCGTTCTGGGAACGCAGTAGCAGTAGACAGAACGAAGCCCGGAGGCTATAAGCGCCTGAATCAACGTAGGGGCTGGTTTTTCAATGTCAACTACTGGCTATAATTATATCGAGCAAGGGTCTTACGGAATTCTGGGCCAACATTCAGACTGGAGTGGTCCACAATGGTCGTGGTCCCGCCATCAATAGCTTCAAGTGCGCCACCAAGTTCACCCCAAAATGCGTCTTCGGTAGAGAATAATGACCCAATGAAGTTTCCTCGCGGCAAGTACTCAAGTAGAGTGTGGTCGACATGGCGACCCTTCAGCGCGGTTTGCCATACATGATGATGTGTACTTATAAAGCCTGGAGACACGATCTTGCCCTCGCAGTCAAACACTTTGACATCCTCGCCGGCTGTCCTGACATTTGGGCTGATTTGTGAAATCGTGTCTCCCTCGATGAATATATCCGACCGCTGAGGTTTTACTCTGCCATCCTCTCCATGGATAAGAAGCACGCCATTCTTCAACAAAATCTTGGTTGGCGAGACGGTCATGGTTTTGTTTTTTTGATAAGAAGGTATGCAGCGAAGCGAAAGTAGCTGCCGTATCGTGATGTCTGAGTCACCCTGTGGTTACTTATGGCCTTTCCCAACGGCCGTATCCGGAGGGTAATTAGAGACACGACGGAGAATTTCTTAAGTCCATTGTTGTCGCGCTAAGCCGAGAAACCCCGCCAAATAGGAAGACGCGCTCATTTCTAGACTTCGCGCTCTTCATCTAGAAACATAAACGCGAAGAGCGAAGAACTTCACGGCCTGTGAAGGGAGATGTACAACTTGGTCCCGGACATTTCGGAGGCCGGATGTCGATATGGAGATAGGCCTAATGTCCGAACGGTATGAGAGCTAGACGCCACCCAATGATAGGGTAACGTACCTTATTTAACTTCTCATCGCTTCCTAGATGTTGCCTCGTACCATGCCGGATCAATTCATTCATCTACAAGTTTAAATATGTGAGCATTCCACAGACAGCTGCCGTGGGGTGTAGAACCTAGCAGTCCACGTGTCAAGTTCTCAACTTCTACTATTGATTAGTGGACAGCGAGCATCAGCGAAGTCTAGTATTGGATGAGTATCAAGGAGACGAGAAGGGAAAGATAATAAAGGACTGAACTCCACGTTATAAATTGAGAAAAAGAAGATGTCAGTCCTGGAACCTAGCTTCAGATACAACAGCTGTGTCTTTGATTCTGCCACGCCAAAGATGTCGCCTGGCCCCTAACACGTGCTTCCTTTCATTCTGCCAATATTGTAGGTATATGGATCTTGATACTCTGTTAAGAGGTAACAGCTCCAAACAAACGAGAGAAAGCTCACAATTCGAACCAATTCTAGCAAAATTTAAAGAACTTAGAAGTCAATGCGTCAAATAGCCCCCTTCTCAACACGCATGCTATGTTAACGACAAGTCGGGCTGCTCATGGGTGTGGACTTCTTTTCAAGTTTAGACCGACGGCATTTACTTTTACGAGCTGAGCTTTCAAGCAATGCCTCCATCTACTACGCAGCCAAGGGAGCACTAACAGCTTCATCCAAGTCTATCAAGACGCTTTGGGTGCCCGCCCCAGAACGCGGTTCTCTATTGGAACCGTAGTATGTGTTGACCTAGTAAACGGTGATTTCGGCAGAGGTGAAAAAAAGCACTCCAGCCATACATCAATCAAGTGAGCTGTTTTGAGCACTTGAATCACATTCCATGACAACACCTCAGCAGGATGCATCGCCGAATGTTAATCAGGGACAAATCGGCAGGCAACCTGAAGTCTCGGTAAATATCTGCCTAAATATTTTCCACTGAATTGTCCTCTGGCTTTAGTTGAGCTATAGAGATTTCCCTGTGCGTTACTGCCCAAGGACCCATGAGTCCTTGGTATGTTAAGTTGATAATGTGCGATTTCCAACAACGGAAGACAATGAGCGCGCAGAAATCTCTCGAGATAAGCTCCTGGCGTCATGTTCAAATATTCTCAGGACGCTTGGGGATGGGGCTAATGGGAGGAGGGGCGCCCCCCTCAGGCATTAACGGAACTTTTGTTGGGGCTAGACGTCAGCTTGAACGTACATGTAAGCTTAGTAGCTCGTGATAGGATGACTCGGACTCTTTCAACGCAAAAGGAATCCACTCCCAGCCGTGGACCGTGTAGACACAAGGGTATGGGTCGGCTCAGCCATTGCACAAAAAATTGATTTCAGACTTTAAGCAGTACCTTGAGTAGTCCCCTTTAACAATTGTTTCGAACAGTCATATTTGTTGCGACACCACGAGCACACTTTAACAACCACCATGCTCACTGACGACCTGAAAGGCGCTTATCGCTCCGAACGGCTTATCTTCAGGGCCGTGGAAAACAACGACGAGGACAAGAAGTTCCTCCATACTCAAATCGAGAATGACCCAGTGACCGTCGCCCTCTCAAACCCGATGGCGCTGATGCCGAGGACCAGCAAGCATAGCGAGTGGATGGTTGAGCAAATGGCCAAATCTGTTCTCTCTGTCATGGTCTGCCTTCCAGCAGATACTTCTGGCGACGGCGACGAGGAAGATGACGAAGCGAAGACGACTGCGCCAAAGCCCATAGGATACCTAGCGATCGGCTGGGGTGGGATTCCTCCGGCAATGGCCCATCACCGCTCAGTCGGCCTCGGGATCGCGATAGCACCACAGTATCAAGGAAAGGGCTACGGGACCGAGGTTATCAACTGGGCTCTCGACTGGGCCTTCCGGTATGGGAACTACCATAGGGTTCACCTTGGGACTGTGTCTTACAATGAGCGAGCTCAGCACCTGTACAAGAGGCTTGGTTTCGTGGAAGAGGGCCGCAGCCGTGAGTCTTACTGGTTTAATCGACAATGGCATGACATGATCAGCTATGGAATCCTGGAAAGTGAATGGGAGGCTATGAGGGGCATCAATTCTGGGTAAGCAAATTGCATTTGGACCTTGGGACAAAAGCTCTTTTATCGAAAAAGATAGTAGCTCACTTGATGTCTGCCCTCAGCATTGCTGCGCTTCCGACAACACAAGCAGTAGCTTTATCTCGTTACAAATGCTGATTGTGAGAACGACCAACGGGATGGTCCTGGAACCAGTGCGCCTCTGCGGTCTGATAAGCCGTGTATCTAGGGTACCTTGATTGAAGAATTGTACTGGGACCGGTACACCTGAGCTCACCTTCCTAATGAGGTATCCTCCGTAGCGAGTAATCTGAATTGTGGCTGTGATGTTCAAGGATCCTGATAACCACTTTTGAGAAGCTCAATATTTCACTTAAAAACACCGTCGCACAGCTACCAATGACTAAACACACCATGAAACGATAGAAGATAATAAAAGCCAACAGCAAACCGGTAAAAGCCCTACAATCCTTGGTCTTATTCACGCCGATTTGTTGTGGGATTTCAGTTTCTAGGGCTCAACAACACTCGCTTCGAATGTCTTTACCGTGCCTACTCCCAGGCGTCGTCATGGTATGGTTGCCTCCGTCTCTCAACCCATAGAGCAGCCTTCCTTTTCTCTTGATCATCGGGGGAAAACTGGAACAACACATGTCCAAGTGCAGTTTCAAACAGTTGTCGGTCGTTCCCACGTAACCGGTTGTAGATGACTTCTTCCCATTTGTCATCTGACGCCAGCTCCGGTATGATGGCTTTCACGGTGTCTTTGATCCTATTCCATTGCACTCGATAACCATCAACAGCGGCGGGCGTGTTTTTCCATGTTCGTTGAGGATGAACAAGATAAGCCTTGATATGGTCGTCCGCAATCCCGTCTCTGTCGAGCCTAGCCTGCATTGGCTTGCCTTTGACAGCGGTTCCGCTTTTGAGACCATCAATGACAGTGCGTTCGAAAACCTCAGCATTGGTTTCGCCCGGGTTGATCCATTCTTTCTCAGGCGCAAATGAGATACTCTCCCAATAGTGAGTGGCATACACCCCTTTTCTGCTGATGATCCACAGTGAACTGCACCCACAAAGACCGTTCGTTCCGAGGCTAAAAGAATTCCTCCCAAACTTTCGGAAAATTGCTGTGTTGGCGTCGGTTCCTGGGCTGACTTCCCAAACAATTGGTTTCGTGGTTTCAGCGCGTTCTCTCATCCACACATCCATGTCTGTGTCATCACCAGGGACTTCCAAATTGACCCTTTTAGCCAAGGAGACATTGAATCCTTGAGTATCAAGGCTATGGATCGGCTCATGGAGGTTTTGAATCATGGAGAATGGATTGCAGGTATCTTGGGTATCCTGATCATCATCGCGCTTTTGGTAACGGGTGAAAGGCTCGACATCTCGCCGGACAGGAGTAGACCGTGGCCAATCTAAGGACGACAGTCCCATGACATGAGAATCTAGAACGCCAGGTTAGTCTCAGTCGCAAGGCATCTAGCATTATGAGAGGGGTGCTTTGCGGATCACGTACCAAGTGACCACGCCGATGGAAAAGCGCTTACTGCTACTAAGAGCAGCAGCAGGCCGAAGGCCGGGACAGAGACATTCGGAGACATTTGAAAGCGAGCAAGTATCCTCAGAACAATCATAATTTAGTAATTTTGTTCGTTTGGGTGGAATTTTGGGCGCTTACGAAATTGTGATATGCAAAGAATTCAAATGGATATGAGTTGCACGCAAATTGCCGTCACTGATAATTCGATGTTGATATGTTGAAAGACAACTTCTTGTCATAGAAATCCAGGCTTTACAAGCAGAACTTGCATTGAAATTTATATCTCGAACGAGATCTCAGGTCGCATCCATCTGTTACGGCGACTGAGTATCGAATTAGGTAGTATGTATCTAGTGAAGCCTCCCGTGGCTATCTCTGTGCGGTGGGGGCTTGTTGGACAGACATTCTACCTCGTTCTTTCTGGTTCATCAAGAAGTAGATACTTCGGGGGCTGAATCTGTTCTAAGCAGATTATACAGTTCCATGTATTCAAACTCTTTGGCTGTGTCGGCCGGCGTATCGTCCCAGTACTTGACCCTGGGATCTGCCCCTGCACTCAGCAGAAGCTGAGCAATGTCAAGTCGATTTGTACCAGCGGCAACATGTAGAGGAGATCCTTGCCAGATCTTGTAGCCTATTTTGATGTCGCGGACATGGTTGAGTTGAGCCCCTTTGTCAATGAGATATTTGACCATGTCCATTCTGGTATCTGCGTGATCAGAATCTATGGCAGACTGGAGTATGTCTGCTGGCAATATAGCACCATGGTGAAGGAGGAGCTGACAGGATTTCAGCGATGGCTCGGTCACAGCCGAGTGAAGCGCCGTCCATCCCCTCGAATCTTTGACATTGGGGTCTGCTCCGTGTTGTAACAGCACCTCCATCCACTCAATGTGTCCAGTGGATAGCCTGTTTGAGAAGATCAGTGTCATGTTTCTCATAAACTGGTATTATGGGAGGTACAAACGTCAGCAAGGTCACGCCCGGCTCCACTGTGTTGATGTCATATCCTCTCTTGAGGATTTCCTCCAACATCGTTTTGTTGTGGCGTTTAGATACAGCAAGGACAACCGAATCGGTGATACTAGCTCCGTTGTCGAATAAGAAGGCGACAACATGTGCGTGATTCTTCCAGGCTGCCTCATTAACTGCGTGCCTCATCAAAGTGTCAGGATACGCATAACGTTTCTGCTGTGCCTCGAAGTCGCTGTGATCCTGCATGATGCTTTGAGCCAGTGGTAAGTCGCCGTTTCCGCATGCTTCAACGAAGCTCTGTTTGGGGGTGCCGCTCATCTCCGTCTATAGGCGGCGAACTGCCTTTGGATCGTGTCGGGGGGAAATGAAAGATTGGTATGTGGTCTGTTATTTGGGTACAAAGCTGGTGTTGGAACATGAAGTGAGGGCACCAACCACGTATTTGTACCCCAAACAAGCCGCCCGCACGTTGGCCGCGGTTCAGGCAATGGGGGTCATGCTTGGTCCATCCCGGTTTAGTTGGGCCCCCAAAACTGAGCAATCTAACTCTCCGTTCGAGTTGGCTACCTGTAGAGACACATACTTAAGGTTGGCAGATAGGTCTAGCCCCTGAGCCACTGTTGGCAAGCAGCCAAATGAAACCAACTGACATGAGTACATACCGAGCAATGCAGCAGAGAATAGGTTCCAACCATTCGCCCCCAACAGGCAGTGATATGCACAGGCACCATTCTTGTACTAGCCATCGACTGACCATTGCTCGAACTCGGTGGGTAGGGTCAGCTGAAAAGCACAATGTCAAGTAGAGGGTTTGGCCCGTGCTTCTTCGCCAGCCAACAACTCCAACAAAAGCGTCAGAATGACAGTCATGGATCGTGATTATTGAGCTTCATCGTGAAAGACATCGTGTGGGGGCTTTGGAGCAGCCCCAAAGCCCCCAGCATGACGATGCCCTTCACAGGCCCTAATGGTCGACTCTCGTCGACATGCAGATTAGCCCGGAAGTTTCAGGCCGAAGCCAACAGCTCACCACCGGCTTGAAGCTGTGACTGTATGGCAGAAGTCCTTCCAAGATTAAAGACGAATTCAATTCTGAAGACAGTGGAAGATGGAGAAAGCATAAATACTCGCGCTTCCATCTCCTCTGAAGTCAAAACTCCAAAATACCTTAGTCAACAAAGACAAACCACCAAAAGTTTGTAAAACATCGCTAGAAAGCCTCTCTCTTCACAACCCCACCGCGAAGAATAGCTTTCTTATCTTGGTTCTATCCCAGGATTTCTTTGATATGGGCTCCGCAATCCTCCGTTGTCTTTTCATCTGCATCATTGCAGCAGTCTTGGCTGCAACCCAAGAGGAAAAGGTTTTCGATCTTGGACAACTCAGTCAATATCAAGGAAATGTGAGTACCATTGTTGTCGCCGGTCCAACTAAGAAAGCTGATACCTTAATCTAAAAAGGGAAAACTTCCAGATCTCAGTGGTAAAGTGATCTGGATGTCGGGCAAAGAGGGTGCAGGGTTCCATGTTGCCCTGTCACCTGATGCTCAGGGAGAAGTCCGGAAGACGTTGATCGGTTGCGAAAAGACTGATGACAAGTGCTACCAAGGCGTACGAGAGATAATTCAATCGGCCAATCTTGTAATCGACGCCGAGATTGAACGTCGCCACTTTGGGCATTTCCTCTCCAAGACATTCAAGTCAAAAGGCTCCGCGTTCACAACAATTGCTATGTTGCTTCTTTCGGCCTGGAGCTTCAAGCATCCCGAGCAGCCAACCATTCAATTTGGGGACCATATAATTCCTGATACAAAGGCTAGTAGCGCGGCTGGTCTTGCGGACACGAAAACGATTGTCTTATCTGCAGAAGGGAAGGGCGTTGCTACACTCATCCCTGTGCCAGATCCAACCAGACCAGAAGGGTGATTCTCCTGAAAAAATAGTCTTAACATGTGCGACATGTACGATGTTACTGACGAAGCTCTATGCAGTACTGCCACACCTTTGATCACGCCCATTACCACCGCTATTGCCGGTTATATCCCAGGGGATCTGATGGTTACCATGGACGAAGGACTAGCCAAGCGGCTCGAAGAAATTATACGAAGGTCTACCGACTGCCTTGATGGCAGGCAGTTCGACAGTGATGCCAATGGAAAACGCGCTGCTCAGTTTGGAGCCGCCATATGTGGTGCTCAAGGGGCCATCGGCATGGCAACTCCTGGTGGCCCACTGGAAGACCTCCTTCTCATGAATCCACCAACCTTACCATTCACGGCTGGAAATGTCGCCAATGCCGCCCTTGTCGTCACGGAGTTTGTTAGAGACTTCGCCCCGCTGATGAATATCGGGGAAAGCGCCGCACAGGGTATTGGCGAAGTTGTCTTCATGATGGCTTACAACACCCTGATTGAAAATCTACCCCTGGGAGACAAGAATCCGATCAAGCAAAAGCTCATGTCGGGCACCATCACCACACCACCCGCCTCAGCCACAGCAACTACTATGTCTGGATGTTCACGAAGTACTGCCTGTGAGGCCTCGTGTGAGGGCGTTGGCATTATGTTTCAATATTGCGAAACATCGTGCGGAGCCGTGTCCGGATGCCGAACCGATGCAGGGAGTCAGACATCAACGCCCATTACCACAATAACGACGACAACGTTGACCCCATCTGCCAACCCAAATTGCGCCATGGATAAAGCTGCCGAGATTCAATGGGATGCATTTGCAGGGTCAAAGTACAACGTGGCAGCAAAGTTCTGCCAGGAAGTCGACGCCCTGGCTTCACAGGCGCTTTCATGGGTTGTCGACATAAGTGGTAACAATCAGGAAGCCAAGCTGCAGGCCCGAACTCCGCCAGTCACACTCGACCCGTACAAGGGCTACATCGTGAATCTCGATTGGAAACCAAACAAGGTATTTGACGCAGGCTCTTGCCAGAAAAGCTGCCTAGACGCATACAAAACAGTTGCGAACACATGTGAGTCCATGCCATCTCCCAATCTCCAATCTTCATTGGATGGCATTGACTAAAACACGTTAGGCGGACACACGGGAGGCGAAGGCAACGTCATGGCCGAAAAGGGCCAATACGATGCTGGTTGCGGGACGTACTCATACCAAATCACCAACACAGCCCCTCGTAAAGGCGAACTGCGTTGCAACAGCGAGGGCGACTTTCCGAAGCACAAAGATGTCCACGAAGTGACAGTCAAGCAGGGACTCAAGGCTATGTGCAATGAGGTCTTACCTGATGTCGTGACACCCGGACATGAGGCAATAACCCGGATCTACTACTCGAAGTATTTCAATGCCGCGAAGCTGAAGTATTCCGTGGCTTGGAGAAAACAGTGCTCACCTGCTGTAACGGAGCAGAATCCCAAGGAACCTTGGGGTGGGGGTACAATTGGATGTCGCCAATTATTCTACCAACTTTGGACCGATTGTAAGTTCGCGATTGTCACGGAATCCTATCATATACCAAACGGGTGGCCTTCATGTCATTTCTAACTCGGACCGACAGGTATCAATGGAGGTGTTGCTGGAACGCGGGATATTGGGTGTTTGACATATTCCTTGAGTCCTACGGAAGAGTGAAGAGACTACTTTACTTAGCACACTTTCTTTCGCAAAACACCCGCTCAAGGAAGTCTATGCGGAAAGGCTACTCAATTGAAATGGAATCCAATGCCTGCATATTAGTTGGCGGGTATGCAATGCGAGTCGCCAGTTTTGCGCTCTTGGCGGACGAGCTGTTCCCATCAACGCTTTCGTGAGAACGAAGTACTGCAAAGCTATTTCTCTTGCTTCGCTCGTGCAAAAGGACTAGCACACTTTGGAGGCCTAATGGCTAGCATTCACCTCCCAGGTCTTCCCACTAAAAGTCGGTCTATGGAGGCTTTTGGATCCTCCCCAAGCGCGATGCAGTTCAATACTTGTTGATCAATACTTGTTTAAGGCATTGTTTATTACTAGGTGGACCACATCTGACTCGTGATTACTAATTCACAAACTCTTTTAGATGACATTGCTCCTCTTTGCCGAGGGTTGTAATACTAGATATATGAATTAGAAGACAATCATATCCTCCCTGAAACGATGCGACGACGGGCATCTTGAGTCAGCGTAAGGCGGCTACGAGATCTTGGCACAAAGATTTATTGAAGACCAGTTATTAAAGTATGGTATGGCCAACCGCATGACAGTTTTGCGATCCTAGGTCAACCGGTCCAATCAATGCCTTCTAACCCACCCCCTCGCCGCTCGACTCATAACCACCACGCGAAGCTATCATTGTCGTCCCAATCATGCAGAACTGGGCAACTTTAATTATGGCGGCTTTGGTTGCTGGCTCTGCGGCCAAGGACTGTGCTTTCTTCTACGACTCTACCGTCTCGGATCCCTTCATGGCTTCCATCCCTGCTTCCAACGCCCAGTGGTATTGCAAAAACGACATTGGCGGTACGATGGAGGACAAAGAGTCGAATATCTCCAACTCGGCAACCAACCCGAACTTCAGATGTGGCATTTGTCGGGGAGCTAGGAGTTCGACCAGAGACTACGACATCCCTGACAAGATTGGCAACTATGCGATTCGATGCGGATATTATGCTCCTGGAAAGTGCACGGCGAGTTAGAAAGAAATTGTGAGCCCAAAAGTTATCAGGTTCTCCTGTACTTGATTCCAAGCTTTCTCTTCCCTTTCTTTTTACTATTATTCTAACAACGTTTAAGTCGGCCATTCATTGGCTTGGAAGGCGAGTGGAGGTCCCAGGGATCCTATACAGAACAGCCTCGATGCCAACTTGAACGAGACTTTTGTGGAAGACCATGCTTCGAAGACAAGCTCAGATGCTACAAGATCGAAAGGTTGTGTTAATGTGGGTAAATACATGACTTCGGGATCGGTCACGACATTCGGTTCGGCATCTACGGACTCAACATACAGCGCAAATATTGACATAAATGTTGAGTTTCACAAGTCAGAAGGTGCCTACTCCATGTGTTTGCATGAGTGACTGTTTACGATTCCTGTGCTTCAATGTTTTGGGAACAGTTCTCTCCGATTTCAAGCTGAAGCCAGGCTTGATGTGTTTGTTGTTCTAATAAAGTTGTACTATTACTCGTAACAGAAGACATTCCCTTGAAGTACTCAATCAAGACTTCGCTTGCTGATTCAAATAAGCTTGATTCTATGTGAATGTGGTTTTTACTTACTTACTGCAAGGACTAATTCGAGTCATCAAACCCTTTGAATATGCGTGCCCCTAAAGAACCCGTGTGCATTCGTTCACTTTGTTCGTCGGCAGAACTCATAAAATGATCGAGTGAGCATACAGATTTGGCGAGTTCTTCAATGAGAATCGCATATCTAAGCTCTAGTTCCCCAACGTGTCATTTTCACCTCGAAATTTATTCTTAGCACCTGTGGCGTTGGACAAAATGATGAGAGCGATACGGCGCGTTCAGTCACTGGTGAGATTTTCGTCGCGTGTGCGCACTCAGATTAAGGTGTCACATATTCTACAGATTTGATAGGCTAGCATGTGCGGGATATGACACATAGCTGCTGGTCCTGCCTCGTTGCCTCGTTGCCTCGTATCCTGCTGATTTGGCTTACCTGTCAATTACACCCCTTAAAGGCTGGTTCCACATCAAGTTCCGCGTGAGATGCTGCTTAAAAATGCTGAGCCACTGCTATCTGAGCTGTTGGGAACCAACAATATCTGACAGTCGTCAGTTTTCCTACTCATCATTCCTCGGACGGCGTCACGATGAAGCTTCTTAACTGCTCCACCCTTCGCATCGAGGATATGCATCCGGCAAGAAAGCAGAAACTCGAAGAGCAGGGGGTTTCAACAGCCTACGCTATCCTTTCTCATAGATGGGAGAGCGATGAGGATGAGGTCACCTTCGAAGACATGGCCAGTGCCGAGATAAGGTCCAAAAAGCTGCTTGGGTGGTCGAAGATTGAGAAAACTTGCACCGAGGCACTCAGGATCGGGATCGCATACGCTTGGATAGACACTTGCTGTGTCGATAAGCGAAACCTCACCGAGCTTACTGAAGCCATCAACTCAATGTTCAAGTGGTATGCAGAGGCGGAAATTTGCTTCGCGTGGCTCTCGGATGTCGATTCAGGGGGCGATTTAACGAAATCCGTGTGGTTCACGAGAGGTTGGACCCTGCAGGAGCTCATCGCTCCGGGCAGAATGGAATTTTACGACAAGCATTGGAGTACGATTGGTAGCCGAGTTGACCTTTCACAACAAATACAACTACGAACATCCATCAACGCTGAAATCTTGAGACATGACTCATCAACACGCCGAAGCATTCAAAGCCTTCTGGCTGGTATTCCGGTCGGCCGGCGCATGTCCTGGGCCGCCGATCGTCGAGCAAAGAAAGAGGAAGACCGTGCTTATTCACTCTTGGGGATCTTTGGCGTCAGTATGCCTTTGCTCTACGGGGAAGGCGACCGAGCCTTCCTCCGATTACAGGAAGAAATCATCAAGGAGACCAACGACATGTCATTGTTCGCTTGGTGCGACTCCACCGTCACTTCTACAGATGGCTCAGCAGAGTTTCGCGGCATCCTCACCACTACTCCGGATCATCTCCGCGATTGTCGCGATCTAACATCCCTAAGCGATCTAAGACGTAGCCCAGAGGTTTGTTGGAAACCACTAAAGACTTCTGCAAGAGAGTGCGATGTTAATTTGTTCATGCCGCTATGTGTAGTTTTCCATGACGAACAAGGGGTACGAATGGAATCCAGGCTCCTTACACATGATAAAGTCGGCGAAGACACGTACTTCCTTAGCCTGGGAATTCCAAGAAACGCGAAATCCAAGTCTAATGTTTTGGACATCCTGCTTTGTAAGCTCAATGGTGATATCTTTGTCAGGGCGGGGCCGGACGAGCTGCGCGTTAGCATTCTGAGAATAATAGTCGGCCACTCGAAAAGAAGGTTCTTTTCATCTCTAAGCAGTTTACTGCAGATTTGTTGGAGGAAACTGTGCGGATTCCGGGCCGGGACTTCAGGTTTTCCTTCGACACCGAGGAACCGAAGTTGATAGTGCGCGTCATCTCTCAAGCAGCCAGCAGAGCCTACTGGGACCCTGATACATACAGATTTGTGAGTCGACGCCTATGGGAGTTCGAAGGGTCCGTAGAAGTCGAGACCGCGACTGGGAAGAAGTTCTTAGTCGTCTGCGGATTCGACACACACAACGGTATGTGGGTCTACTTAGACGAGGTTCTTCGGGATAATGTACCGATATTCTATGAATATAAAGTGGCGGACGAGACTCTGGATAGTATTCCAGTCATAAGAATTCATTTCTTTAGTACCAGGTTGGTTGCAAGGAAGCCTGCCCCAGAGATAAAAGTTAATCTTCAGCCAAGGATTCGGATGCCACTCGAAGTGACCCAGGGCGCATGTGAAGCGAAAGGGGAAAAGGCTCTCACAATGCAGCTTTCGAATTGCAAACTGATGTAGAGTGAGATCTGAATCCTACGGGTCGATGGACTCTTATCGGTTAGATAGATTGAAATCGCTGCTTCACGATCCAGCAGATACCGCCATGATAGCATAGGATTACTGAGTATGGTGATTATACACCTAGATCCTACGTTTGTACATGAGAGAACCACAACATGCAAGACCGCATGATTTGCGTAATATAAACTATGGCCATAGAGTAACGTTCGTGAGAGGGCTAAGTGAGAAAACGAAAGCCGAAAGAGATTCTTTTGAAGGGTGTAAACACGACGAATGAGGAAGACGCCTGCAACCTCTGCTTGCATAACCCTGCAATCTAATCGGCACTAGCATAATAATACACACTATGTGTGCAGTCTTTTGTTTTGTTTAAAAATCAAGTTGTCATAAGTAGCAAACACCCAGTAGGGTACTAGGTATATCGAAGAAGTGGGCGAACCGCCCATTCCATTCAATAGAAAGAAGCTCCAGGCTTTGCAACTATCCAACACAACCCTTTGTCCTTTTTGGTAAAACCCAGCCGTCAATGCATAATTGGTATAAACGCGATCCCGCAAGCTTTCCCAGCCTTTCTCCGCCTAGTCAAAACAAAACCACCCCGCAGGACCTTAGATGAGAAGTCCACCCACAACACCAGCGGCAGCCATGCCCAAGCTGAGCAGACCCCAGCGGACGTCGCCACGGGCCTCGATACCAGCGCTTGGCTGCGACGAGGATGAAGCAGAGGGAGAGCTTGAGGCAGAGCTGGGGCTGCCAGTGGCCGCGGAGCCGAGGGTACCACCGCCAGTCGCGCTGGGCGCGACGTTGGACTGCGCCGCCGCCGCGGCCTGGGCATATTGCTCAATAGTCCTTGCACCGCTGGCACTATCAATAAGATTAGCAAGTTTGGCTTCATACCTCTGAATGGAGACTTGAACTTACGGAGCGTTGATAACACCAACCATACCACCTTGGCAATGCTGCCCAGTAGCGCAGTAAAACCACTTGGGATTCGTATCCTTAACCTCAACAGTGAACACCTCCGACCCAACACCAGACGCAACCTGAACCGGACCGCTGAAGAAGCCCGTCGTGGATCCGTTGGTCAGCGGTTGGCAAGGCGAGTCAAAGGCCGACTGAGCGACGGAGTGGGCGCGGGGGTAAAAGTGGAACTCGACGACCTCGCCGACGGCGGCGGTGATGCTGTTGGGCTCAAAGGTGAGGCCGCCGTCGCCGACCTTGACGACGTGGACGCCGGCAATGCTGGAGGAGGAGGAGGCGGCGGCGGAGGCGGTGTTTGTGGAGGATTCTTGTGCGCCGTAGCCGTATTGTGCGAAGGCTCCTGCGGCGGGGAGGAGGGTTGCGAGGAGGGTTGATGTATGCATTTTGGGTCCGTTTGTGAGGTTGTAAAATGGGCTAGGTGGTGTCGAGTAGAGTAGTTGATGCTTACTGGTGTACTATGGGAAGACTTGTTTTGTTTGATGATGAGCCAAACCCAAATCTCACGGGAGGGACGTTGTCTTCTTATACACGTAAATCCTCTTGCAACCTTCAGCTCAAGATGATAGATCCCCAAGAAACAACACTAAACACCACCCTCAAACGGTTTACACCCCTTGGAACATCCCAAGCCTCCATCCTCAAGCCAACACCCCTCCACCTCCCCCAGGCACCATCCACGTTTGATCCCATCACTCCCAAGCCTTAGTCCTCAAACCATGTGGCGGCGGCCTCCTTCAGCAAGCCCGTCTCGGAAGCAAATTGACCCTTGGGCACCAGACCCCACCTCGACTTACCTACCAAGACGAGAAGAAACAAAATTCGGCTAGGCGGTAGCCCCTCAAGTAGCGTAAGGTAATCACAATTAAGCTCCGCCTCGCGGATGGGATAGTTTCCATGGTGGCATGGTCTCCATCCCCAAACCCGCGCCCTAGCCGGCCGGATGTATCTGACATCCGAGGTGGCAGCAGTCAGAGAGCCAGAGCCAAGGGCCAGGGATCAGGGGAGTGGTTGTGGGAACAAATACGAACAAGCGTGCAGGCCAAGCATTTTTCTGACGCATGCTGATCCTGGGGGAGGTGGGCATGGGAGGGAAGATGAGAGAGGAGAGGTCCCTCGTCTGAATGCGAATAAGTCTATTTCGAGTCCAAGCTTTTCTTCTTGTCTTCTTTTGGGCTGACAGTGGCCGCGGCATCAGCGGCATTACCAACCTACATGGTCTAGAAGAGTTGACCCTAAGCCAAATTCGACCTAAATTAGGACAATAGCATGGGGTCCTCACGGAGGCGGACAAGGACGCCTCCAAGTTTAGCATGACAAGCCAACGAGGCCTTCCACGGATTGGATGACAGGAAGTCTCAGTATGTGCCCAGCTGGTTCTGCTGTAGCCATACAGCCACAAAAAAAAAATGACTGTCTACCGGGATCCAACACAGCCGCTGTACATGTCCCGTCCTTCCCGCGCCAATGTTCGGATCATGTTTCGAATAGTCGTGACCCCCAGGCCCGCTGTGGTGTAAGCGCCAGGGAGCAGTACATTATCCAACGCGCAAAAATATTGACAAAAGACACAACAGGATTGTATCATTTCAGCCCCCATAAGTAGCCGCTAAAGCCGTGTTCCGCCTAGGAAAGCTGGTCGCTGGTCAGCCAGTAAGCAGCCCCCTCGACGGAACCAACCATTCACGTCTACAACCAAGCCAGACCAGAAACAATGGCCAAACCTCGTTCATCCCAAACAGAAACAGGGGGATCTTGGATGATAGGAGGGGAGTTGTGGTCGTCCAAGGATTACCGGTAGGTACGGCAAGCTTAATCCCCTTTCACTTTCTCCCCCTTCCATGTATCTACCTCAAGTCTCTAGTATCCAATTCTAACAAAGTACTCAGTGGATACACACTAGCTCATTAGTGGCCTCCCCAGAACAACGTTTGGCGTTTCTCGCTTCGAGTGCCGAGCGTTCCATTCCCAGAGTTGGGGTGGCGGCATAACCCTGTCGCGACCATCATCCGGGGTGATGATTGGACCGGGGCCCGTCTTAGGCTCTGTTGGCGCCGCAAAAGTTTAAAACGTCTTGAGCTTGAAGATGCCGCTCGTCCCAGCCCTTCACTCTCCCCCTCCTTATTCTCATCCAGGGGTTCATCTTTCGGGATTAGGTTGAGGAGGGTAACTTGACTACTGTCATACCATACCTTATGAGAGGGGATGAATTATGAAAAGGAGAAGAAGTGAATTCCAGCCTCGATTGTAATCCATAAACCAGAAGCCCATCAAGCTGCGCACCCATAGACGACACAAGCCCAAGCCCCTGTTTAGAGCCAACACCAAGCCAGCTTTCCCCACGCCGTTATTCCCAGCTGGGGAGGTCAAAAGAAGACTCATCCCGTCCCAAGCACCCAAAAATAAGGTTCTCCTAGTGTTCTTCTGCAGGCGGGTCAACAAAAACTCCCATCTCCTCCGCATTTTTCTCTGCACCACAGCCACCCTCGCCTAGCACCCGAGCCGGCAACCGGGACAACTCACTCCCCCAAGCGCTTGCACTTGTGCCTCGTACATGTAGTCGATGCAGAAAATAACCGCCAAGTGACGATAATGGGGCCCTTCTGCATGTCGAGCCACAAGTTCTCGGCTGAACCATCGCACCGGAGCCGATCACGGAGATTCGATCGCTTCCCATGTGTTGCCATTGCTCACACAATCTAACCTGTCCTGGTGCGCGTTTCCACTGGAGTCGTCGAAATTGGTAATTGGATTTGCCTTATTCAACACGATGCCTCGCCTTATTACAAACCATGACTGATGTCCGACGCCAATATCTCCCTGACTCGTATCCCAAGTTGCCAGCTACCAGTAACCATGGTTCCCGAAATCGAAACAAAACAAGCTCGTAACAGCGTGACATGACGTGACAGCCATAACATGTACAAACTCAATTCAATAAAACACACGGCGCAGGGTCCCAGCACTGCCAGAATCATCAGATGAAAGCTCTTCACTCTTCATCGCTCGAGCTGGAGGACGCTGCCGCTGCTGCTTCTTTGGCGTCATCGCCTGCCTTCTTCTCCTTCTTGTTCTTCTTGCCCTTCTTCTTATTCTTCTTCTTGCTGGAGGAGCTCTCGGCTGGCTCTCCCAGATCAATCAAGTTGGTCGAAGCCTGACCATTACCGGCATTTCCAGCCGAAACGGCCTTGGAGATCTCGACCAACATTTTCTTGAGCTCTTCAACTTCGCTTCGCAACTGCTGCACCTCGTAGATCGTAGGATCGTGCTCCAAGTTGGTCTTGGCGCTTGCGCAGACCTTGTTCCATCCATCGGATTCGAAGTCGACCTGGTCCATCATCTGCTCCCACTCCTCGATTGTGTCGTCGTCTTCCTCACCTCTCGCTCGGTTGCTCCTAATGTCGGCGGCTGAGCGAGTCTCGAAGATTGCGGCGACAACTAGGACCGGCGAGTAGAGGATTCCCATGATAACGTCGCTCATCTTCTCGAACTTGGATTTCTCCATCCACCAGAAGAGGCAAATGACAATCATTTCAATGAGGTTGAATGGCGGGATGTAGACGTTTTCGTCGGGGGCACGGACGAATTGCATCGTCTTCTGGGCAAACAGCGCGAGATACTCGTCGTTGGCGTTGTCGTAAATGTCTTCGTATGCGGAGTTGTACAGCGCAATGAGGATGTTAAGCAAAACGACCTGCGATCCAAATCAGCAACTGGTCCCATCTTCTCATAGGACCACGACTTACCATGACAATGAACGTGAAGCAGTAGTACAGAATGATACCGAATGGCGGCGAGAACCTGTCGAATCCGTCAAAGTCGGGGCTCTGCATGATGGCGTTAGCCATGGCTGACATGATGAATGTTATATCATCAGCCACCAAGTCGTCTGCCAAGTCGAGACCAATAAAGGCCTGGAGGAATCCAATGATCAACACAGCAAGCAAGGCGAAGAAGATGATGGACTCCTTCATCATGACCTTTAGCACGACTAGCATAGCTCCAAAGAAGCGGAAGCT